GGTAATGATGATTCTATATTTTAATTGTCTCTTTTGGGAACTCCAATCTGACGATTTAACAATCAATTTGTACTCACAAATAGCCTCACAGGTGCAGTTGCCATTTTCTCATGGAAAAACTCTCCAAAGTCAGGTTTCCTTTCTGCAGTTCTGTACTATTATAACGCGTATTCGAAGACAATATACAGTGGTTGTGAAAAATTCTCCCCCAAGTCGAGTCCAGATGTCTTTTTCTTGTTATACTATGCTGATTCCCCGGCCGATAGCGATCAAAACTGTTACATCAAAGCATGTACACTGGTCAATTTATACTAAATGGTCACGGCCTGGTATTTGGAAATATTTCTCAGAAATTACACAAAATTGCTATCCTTGCAAATATTCACAGGATTGCCCCATAAAAAATACCCAAGGACACATTTTTTAAAGGTATTTTCAAACTACAGTGGGCCCGCAGAATGCTGGGTAAGCACATTCCTATCAAGAATCACAACATTATAGCAACATACGGAGTTTCTCACCGCATCACTGTATGTGAGTCACGGGGAATCCCCTGAATTTCTTCATTGGTGTTTCTTAAACCCTATCGAATTCTGCAGACCGAAGGCATTTTCAAGGCCAAACACTGATTCATAAAGTATAATTTATGAGGAACTTCACCCAAGAGCCAGGAACCCACTATCACCAAAACAGAGCTTCATAATTGAGGATTAAATTCGCAGAAACCAGGCAAAAATAGAACAGCAACAAACAATTTATCATCCAAGGACCCATCATTTCTCAGTACACTTAAATTATTCAACAAAAATATCATCTGTTTCTGATTCATTCCCAAAACCATAACCCATAAAAAAGGGTCCCCCAAAACTATTGTGTTTCCCTGCATTACCTATCACACTCTCGCATAATTATTAGTTTACGTGTAGGGAGGATCTCTACATTTATAACCTAAAAGGCCGAAAGATTGTGTGGCAAATATTGAAATGGGGATCGTCAACATATTGTGTTAGCTTTGATCTCTTCGAATCCGTTGAATCCTAAGCGATTGGAGTTGTTTAGATCACTTAACGAATGGTATGAAATGATGAGGTTTTGGGTTTTTTCAAAGTTTATAATGGCGGCCAATGGGGGATTTTAGCAAAATATCCCGAAAATTAAATCATTAAAAGGCCGAAAGATCTGTGGATGGATCTTGCTGTTTTATATATCAAAATGAACACTTCGTTGGGTCTAACAAGGATCCGTTGAATCCTAAGAAAATAAATGATTTGTTAAAAGTTATTAAGATTTCAAATTTTGATGACGACTGCTCTCCATTGAAATCTTTGGACCATGAAATGTCGATTTACGCGCATGCGTTGTGACGTTATTTCCATTATTCTACGCCATGGAATAGTCTAGGCTAGATCTAGTTCAACGTCGTTAAACTCAATAACGGCGTTCTTTATTATTAGGAATTTTCTTGGGGCCATTATTGAGTTAAACCTCCTTACTATTCTTTCCTTTGATGCAAGTTCTGAATCCATCGAAACCATTTTTCCGCGATAACATGCAACTGATACTTGACAATAATATAAAAACACATAACTTCAAGCGATTTAACACAATATTATTGTGTTAAATGTTCATTTATACGAGTAAAATGAGGCTACACTTACCAATCTCTAAAGTGACATTTCAGCATGTCCGTCATTGTGTCTGTTCGTCTGAGTGTCCCGGATCGTAAAATTAAACTACCAGCGAAACGAAATTGTTGTCAAATAGATTGATAATTATTATCGCGATTACTCGGGATAAAAAGATCAATTTTGAGGATAACAGGTATCTTTGATTAATTTATATAGCGCGTATATACACGCAAAATAGTTATTAATTGCAAACCAACTGTTCGTCAATGCAGTGCCGTGATGACGGTTAATTCCTGAAACGATTTGCAATTTCGATGTTACCGAAACTGACCGACATTTTCGTCATATTCCAAACCTGTCTCCAATATTTTCGTAATTATGCATCATAATACGGGATACGGGACGGGGTGTATGTGTTTATAAGGTATGTATGCATGCTTAAATCACATTCTTTGTGTAATATTGCCATGTTTTCAGGGTTCAATTAGTTCCGCTTGTCGAAACCTGCTGAACGATTAAATTAACGCATCAAAGGCAAAATGGTCATGGAGGTTAGACCTAGCCGGGCCATAACACATGTCAGATAAGAAACGAGGCCCGGGCTAGGTCTAATGTTGTTGGACTAGGCTAGATCTAGACAAGATAAATAAAGCCATCCCATTTCTTTACCCCAAGTCATACCAACACAAGAGGCCACAGCCAGAAATTCTACAAATCCAGATGTAACCTTGCCCTGAGACGAGGATTCTTCAGTCAGCGTACAGTAGGCGACTGGAACAACCTCCCAGAGAACGTAGTTACAGCCCTAACATTAGACGATTTCAAAGCAAAGGTCGACGCCTACTACTACCCAGACATGTAAGATCACAGGGAACCTAGGATGATCAGTTAACATTACACTAGTCTAGTATTTTCGCCCATGTTCAAAATAATTTTATTGCAACTGTCACATTGAATTACACACACTACCGTCTTTGGGAAATAAAACACCAAAGAAATTGAAAACTGCCCATAAGAATCCATGTAAATAATAAAACCAGAAGGGAGGACAACACAGGACTAACCTTACCCTCCTAAACATGATGATGATGATGATGATGATGATTAGTTTTATACCAGCCAATATCCAGTTTGGCATCACATTCAGCTTGACATGACATCCTGTAATTAAATGCAAGTCCCTAGCACTCCTCACCATCGTACGGCCCCTTGTCCCATAGGCATCCGTTCTTGCCTTCCCCTCCCTCCTAGCCGTCAATATTCGCCCATTATTATCAAAGTTGGGTCCAATCCTCTTGGTTTTCTTCGGTTTGGGAACAACAACCTATTCTGTCCACTATTAATCTATTTTACGGTAGATTTTTGTAAACGCTGTTGAAAATAATTGAAAATGGTTGTATTCTTTGAAAATCGATATAAAATTTGCTGACCTTATATTTTGCTTGGTATGGGTTACAGGCCCATGTGAAAAGGTCAAGCTCGTTGAATTCTACGATATAAGGCAGGTAAATTCCCTGAGCTCTGGGGATTCACCGACCTCTGGGAATTTGGCGACTATTCCTAACTGTTTAAGGTAACTTATAACTTAATCAAAAAATCCAAGATGGCCGAAACCAGGAAGCACATGGCATTTGAGTATAATCTGACCATCAAAATTAACTGTCTTTTGGTTGGATTTTCTCTCAATTTTTTAGTTCCTCTTATCATTTATATAACCAGGCTCACTGTGGTAATGCAAATAGAAACAGTAATTATTTTGGAATGGGAATTTGAGTCCTCTGAAAATGTGACAGAAAAATTGACAAAAAGAGTAGGCAAAGGTCCCTGAACATTTTTTTTCTAATTTCTCTGAAACATCCCTTTAAAATAGCCCAAAATGGAAGGAGCTTTAGAATTTTGAAATCTCTCATACAAATTAAAAAAAATAGAAAAAAACAATTTGAGAAGTGTACTTTTTTCCTTATTTTGATCCCAATTTTTTTATCTGGTAATTTTTGAAATTTCCGTTGCTCCTTCGTTTTTGATATATGTTTGAAGTATATTTTCTGAAATCTTCAGATATTTTGAATCAGCGGTTTTTCACAGGCTACTCCTAGAAAAAAATCTTCTCAAATTCTTTAAACGGCACTTTTTTTCTCAAACTAAAGTTTTGTTGTTGTTCATTGATGTCTTTGAAATGATTACAGTGCACAAGCATATGTGAAATAATAAAAACGACTTCTCAGGAAGAGTTTGAAAATTTCAAGATTGTGAAATTTTCAATTTTTTCTGAAAATCGATTAAGTTAACAGTCACCTTAACTCCTTCATGACTGACAATTTTGGGGAAAATGGAAAGAAATTAAAAACTGAAATGTAAATGAATCTAGAAGCAAGAAAAAGAAGCAATATAAAATACCATCCAATAACCCGGAAGTGAATTATAGAAATATAGGTAGCGTGAGCCAGAACAAAGGGAAATTGGACTAGTACTTCATAAGAAATTACTAATGAGGTAAGTGATGAATCGGTGTCAGGAATATGATAGAATGATAGGTCTAGTGTAAAAAGGGTGAAGTTACAAGGTGAAATATAAACCTACACAAATACAACACAGCAAGCTAAAAGAATAAGGGATTAGGTACTTTAAATATCACCACACCAACTACCAACTAATAGTAAATCACACGAGAAATATATTCATTCAATAAAGTCTATTCTATTATACTTGCGTTTTATGTCGCAACTGAAATATATATATGTACAATGCGAATAAATAGTATTTATTATCTTAATCCTTGATGTGATTGTGGCTTTAAGGAGTCATTGATGTTTTATAAGAAATAATAATTCAAATGCTTTTTACTTAGTTGCGACAAAGTTGAACATCTTTAAAATGGCTAATTAGCCTAATTAGCTTATTGGAATATCATTTTTAACTCACCTTAAGAGTTGATACCCTATTACCTGTCAAGAAACCACTTGTCTTCTACCATGGTGCGCCAAATTAGCCATTCCCTGAATTTTCAGGGAAAGCACCATATAAAGGGCACTCCCCTGCGAAAAAACTTCAACAAGAATTATTATTAAACATTCTAACATTTTTATTTCATTGTGAAACTTAATCATCAATCACTTACATTTTTCATTTTATTTGTTTTAGTTCATTTCTTTTTTAATTTTATATTATGTTATTGTTTGTTATCTTTAGAGTCCTATGTTAGTTATTATTATCTTATATATTTTCTGAAAGCCAGGGACTTCCATCGTCCAATCTTTTGTATGTTATAGTCATCTAGACCAATCCTAGCCGCCCAAGTAGCCCCGCCTATCCTAAAGCTATGTGACTTGTACAGCTTTGTGTCCATTTGGCAAAAAGTAAACAGTTTCTTTAAGTTTTTATTGAATGAATAACGAGTTACTGGTGAGCCCACCTGGGTCACAAACATTGGTCCTTCCCTTCCTTGTGTAGTAAACATATATTGATCTAGTAATGCTACTGGACATATGTCTTTTTCTTGTGGTCTTATGATCACACTCTGTGGTGATTTACTATGTTTGAATGATTCAAATTTTATAACATAACCTTCTGGTTGTTTATGTTTGTCTTTTCTCAATAAATTATGTTGACTTACAGTTATTTCACCAATCCTTAATAAACCAAATAAAGCTACTGACATCATTGTTTTTTGTAATAATACTAAATATTGATTATTTTCTATGATTTTTAAAGCATGGAACAGTTGTTTGAGAATTTCTGGTGTTATTGGTAAACGAGAGTCACAAGAAGGGTTTTGTTTTGAAATCCCAGTTAATGCTTGGTTTACTAGAAATGATTTAGTTGGATCCGGTAAATCTCTAATTTTATGATGGTAGGCTAGACCAGATATCAAAGTCCTTATAGAATTTGGTGCTAAATTTTTATGAATTAAAAATGCTATAAATAGTCCAGTACTTACAGGGGTTAAAGGTATTTTTCCTAGTTGAGTTACTTCATTGAATTGTTCCAAGTAAATAATACTCCTGTTATAAATCTGTATTGTTCCTTGAGCTAAAGCTGAGTTTATTGTCGTATTTAAAGTGTCAACCAATTGCTGGGTTGTAATTCCTCTGGTATCTGATCTTGTTTCATATTTTTGATTGTTGAGAGTTTCTGAAAAACATGAATGTTACCCCTGGATAGAGCATCTGCTAATGTATTGTCTTTTCCTGGAATATACAACCTTATGTTGTGAGATAAACACTGTAGTATCATAGGTCTAAGCAAGTTCATGATACTTGTGTCTTTTGATGAATATCATTTGAACTGCTTCTCGGTTTCCAGTACTACGTTTTTTCGCCTTCTTGTTTTGTTTTATTTATGAAAAGGAAATCGTCCAAAATATGTTCCATATTTTTTATATTGTATTTTGTTTTTGCTATCCATTCTAATGATGAGCTGAATGCTTCAAATATACTACAAGCGTTAGATAGTCCCATAGGGAGCATTTTATCATAATAATACTTTCCTTCCCATTCCATGCCTAACATGTAGTGGTCTTCCTTATGAATTGGTACTATTCTAAACGCCGATTTTATGTCCGTTTTTGTCATAAAACAGTTTTTTCCCATTTTTTGTATGTGACCTATAGCGTCATCTATTGTCGCATATGATACTGTTGTGTCTTCTTTTATGAACCCATCATTAACCGATTGTCCCTCTGGGAAAGGTAGATGGTGAATTCTTTGAAACTCTCCTGGTTTTTGTTTTGGTACTTGACCTATTGGTGAAATGATTAAGTTTTTGAAAGGTTTTTCTTTAAATGGACCTGCTATGTGACCAATTTTTATATCGATATCTAATTTTTCTTTCATAATCTTAGGGTTTTCATAAGCTGATTTTAGATTTTTGTGAATTTTTTCTGTCTTAATACCAAATGATTTTATTCTGAAACCTTCTTGAAAACCTGAAATTAAGAATTTTGTTTTTTCAATGTCATATTCTTGTAGTTCTTGGTTTAATACTTTAGCGTTTACTGGAGTAGTTACCATCGTAGTCACGTTTTCTATCATTATGTTCTTCTTTGGACTGTCTTTGGGGACCACCTGGTCTCCTTTCTCTGGTACAATAACATCCCCTGTGTTGTTCATCGCATTTTGGGCATGTGTGTTTGTAACCGCATTTGTTGTTACAGAAGCGGCCTCTGTGGTATTGGAAACACCATCCCTTTGGAAAACGAAAATCACGATTTTCTTCTTGCGATCCTTGGGTAATATCATTGTTGATCATTGCTTTTGCAGTTGTCCAATGTTGGAAGTGCAGCACATTCCATGGCCATTTTCCTTCAGCTCTTTCATTACGAAAGTTGCAATCGTAGTATCTCCATCCCTTCTTTTCTTGGTATAGTTCTGTCACAAGGGCTAGGTGTTTCATCAGTTGTGGCCCAGATGTGGTGAATTTCTGCATATAGACGGCGGAATATGATGCAAATGCCTTGCACCATTAAGGGAATGTGAGTGGTTTTTTTTCTTATTGTTCTGTTGTATGTGTAGATTTGGCTTCCTTCAGAGCCATCTAACATTTGCGTTACAGTCAAACCACCTAACTGACGTGTTTGTAGGTCTATTTCCTTGTGTATCAGCTCAAACTCTATGTATTCATATGACCAGATTTTTTCTTTTAGTTTTTTTGAAATTTTATTCTCTATTGGAGAGGTTTGAAACGAAAAGGGGTTGAGGCCTGAATTGTATTGGTTTTGGTATATTTATCTGTTGATTTTGTAGTTGGAATAGCAGCAATTGTATTTGATAATTAGTATTCATCTGTTGAACTGGATTTGCTAACAATTGAATCGGTATCGTTTGGTTTATATTTGATTGTTGTATCTGCATAGGTTGTTGTTGTGGCTGATCTACTTGTTGTATGTTCATAGGCTGTGGTTGGTGAATTATAACTGCCTGTTGTCCATTGTTGTGTATTGGACCAGGCTGTATAATAGGTTGATTACTAGTTATTGTGTGACTTGGTAACCCCGGTATATTAACAGTATTGTTACCTGTGCTCGCTGTATCTTTTGCTGACACTGGGGCCTCTTGAGTTGCATAGGAATGGTCTGTGCTTTTGGACCAGTGGCGTAGCGTGGCAATTTTACTACGGGACGCAAAATTCCAAAATTGGGATGGGGGGGGAGTTTACCCGATACGCATTCATTTCCACTTGAAATTTACTCTACGAGCCTACGAGTGGTGCCATATATCACTCTGGAAATACAGATTTTTATTTATAGAATGAATGCAGGAATTATTCAAAAGACTTGACAATGACAATCAGGAATGATTGATTCTCAAGAACTGGGAAATTTAAATGGCTCACTTTGTTGGAAAGTCAAAATCTCTTAATCTTGGCCATTGCCCCTCAACAAGACGTCGCTTTCTCCTTGGATCAGTCAAACAATCACGCAGTGCCTCGTCTCCTTGAGATCATCATAATCTGGTCCATTTCTACACAAAAATAATTTTGAACATTTAAAAAATCTATTATCTTTGTAAAAATCTTACCTGAATAATTTACACTGAACAAAAAGATGTCTGCAGCAGACAGCACTGTTGATTACTCTTATTCAATGTCTTCCGATAAGATTTATGGATGAAAGGTACAGCCAAATCTTGCTTGGATATTATTATAGTATATAGATATTAGCGTAATTGATTAACTATCCCTAATCATTAAATTCAAAAGATACTTACGCCAAAACTGGAGCTGGATTCGGCACATGAGCAGGCATTGTGTACTTAATACGGGGAGGTCATATGGATTACATAAGAGTATTCACGAAATTATGAGAGTATAATTTGAAAGAATCATTAATGACATGTCGGGACTAAAATAAACACCTAATTTCTATGGTTGAACCCTGTTCAAAGATACGAAATGATAAGGTTGAACAATGGCTTTGCTTATTAAAACTTGAGAAATTTAGAATTTCCAAATATTCAGATAAACATTGGATTGTTCCAGTGGACGCATTTGCGTACTTTGCGTAAACGACGCTACACCACTGTGGACCCTTCAACAATGAGTCCACCTGGATTCATGTTGTATTGCGTCTGACCTAGCTCACCTGAGCTGGTCCCTGGTTGCGTTTCTACCAGTCCACCTGGGTTGGCGCCCATTCTGGCTTTTTTGCTCACAGGTTCCCTGTTAAAATAGAAATTTTTACTTTTTATTAGTTATTGTTATTATTATTTGATATTTAAATTAAACAATTTTCATGTTTCAATAAATAATTTTTATTACATTAATCTATATTTTTATTACTCTAAACTGATGTTATATTTTATATCATTTTTATCGTATATATATTAATACCATTCCAACAATTTTTGAAGTTCCTCTATCTTTGTTGATTTCTTCTTAGTAACAGTAAACTCCATTGCATTAACACAGAATATGCAAGGAACAAAAACCATGTTGCTAAACAAAAACTTACAATTTGCAATTTCTCCACTTTTAGCAACACTATAAAAGATAGTTGAGCTATGTTAGTTAACAAACAATGACTCCTTATGGCACAGATTTTTTTGAATGGGGCAGTACCGAGCTCCATGTTTTTAGATTTTTGTTAGTCTTAATTAATCTTAAATATAGTGAACAGCTCAACTACTAAATTCTATCCTTATATTCCTACCCTCCTTTTCTTCTTTAAGGAAGTTAAGGAGCATCCCCCTCCATGATCTAGCCAAACGTTTTTCGCCAGTTTTGTTGAGATGTATGGGGTCTTTTGGGAGATTGACTATTTCTTCATGTTGATGTCTGTGGTCATTCATATCCTTGTGATGAAAATAAGTGATTCTATTGTCTTGAAGGCGTTTTAAGGATTTTTGAATGTGATGGTTGGTTGCTGCGATGTTAATGTTGAACTCAAGGGATTGTTGTAGTGTATTGATATATTTGTTATGTTTTGCGAAATGTCTTTTTAGTAACTGGCCAATGTAAACTTTTTTGCAATGAGGATGATCGTCAAGATATGAATAGGCTAGGGAAATTAGTTTTCTGGCTATTTCTTTTGGGTTAGTGTCCTTTTTGATGTCATTTTCTCCCAGTTGAAGGATGAGTATCTGCGAGTCTTTACGCTTACTGTCTCTGAGCAGTGCTTTTACTTGATAGATCGTACCACCACTCTTCTCCGTACAGAGGCAGACCACCTGGTCTACCTTTAGCTTGTGGAAAGCTAAATAATGTTGCTGACTTTGGATCATCCTTCTTATGAATGAGTGACCCGTTATTTTCACTTTTACTTTAATGCTAAATATACGTATAATATTTTATAATACAGGGTGTCCCGAAAGTATGGGACCCCCCTAGGCAGACATATTCCAGTGTCCTCATAGTATGTGTCATATATCATTTTAAAGCTTATCCAAAGTTACATTGATTTGCCAAGTATCATGGTCTAACTCCAAAATGGGAAAAAGTTACAGTCATTTTAAAAGTTAGTGTTTTGTCAAAATAAAGTTCAATTTTACACCACATAACTTGTCAATGTGTCCCCCCTTGGCCATGTTAACAGCAGCAATTATTTTCAGAAATGACCTTTAAAGCCCTTCAAATAGGGGTGTGGAATTCTATAACCCTCTTAAAACATGTTAAGGGACTTTAAAAGAGTTTGCTTAGAGTTTCTACCCTCACCATTCTCTTTTTGCAACTCAATATCCATCCGACCCGAAAAGAATTGCTGCTGTTAAGATGGCCCGAGAGGACACATTGACTAGTGATTTGGTGTAAAATTGAACTTAATTTTGACCAAACACTAAATTTTAAAATGCATGTAATTTTTCACATTTGAGAGTTGAACCATGATACTTGGCAAATCAATGTAACTTTTGATAAGCTTTAAAATGATATATGACATATACTATGAGGACACTGGAATATGTCTGCCTATAGTGGTTGTCATGACCTTGTTGTCCCAGGACAGAGTGGTATCGTCTGGGGGGCCTGTTTCTTTTAATGGCTGCGGCCCACTAAATTCCACCTCCCCGTCCCGGTAATTCAAAATGGTAACAGACTCCTCGACATCCTGTCGAGAAGGCTGGGTAACAATTCCATCCCCCACAGCTGACGGAGAGCTATCCTCGAGATGTTGTTCCGTTGTTAAATATTAGTCACGTGATCACTTATTGTCTTTAAGATCAATTACACCACACTCAGCAAGATAAAAATTTGAACTAATTCACCAAACTATTTGTACAACAAAGCAAGCAAGCAAATCACTTAATAATTTTAATTAAGATCGTTAAAATTTAATTGGTAAATCCAACCCAATTTAAGTGGATAATTTATAAAACTTAAAAAGATTTCAACTCCCCTTTTATTGTTATTCAAAGCTATTAGCTATTAATTTAAAATTATTACTTGTGTTTCGAGTACATTGTACATCTGTGACCAGTGAACAATATTTGTTGGAATTTATTTGTATTCATTTTGCTATAGCCTTAATTTTTATATCATGTTCAACTATCATCAAAAGCAAAATAGGGGTCCCTGTTGGAGTTAAACCAACAATACCTTGTCATGTATTACCATGAAAGATATCCCTTTGGGAGTTAGTAACTTTACTAAGATAATAGTCAAACAAAACATGAACAATTAGTGGTAAATTGAATCAAATGTAACTGGTCAAAGATGTAATGAATGCAACTGGAAACACAAGTAATCGGATGTGGGCGTATTAGTATGTACTTCTCCAGCCCGGCCATTTTTAAATGGATGCTCTATCTTCATTGCCTCAGCAATATGAAATGCTTACATGCAGATCTGGCGCTTGGTCACTCCAAATCCCATTTCCGCTGCCTGAATAGTTTTTGATACGATAGAATCCTCAATCGCAGCTGGTTGACAATGTCCAACCTGAAAAAGTGAAACACATTTGTTATTTACTTGTTGCAGTTCTTTGACTTTGGTGTCATATATATAAGGCAGGCGAGGCAGATATAAATGTTAGAGTCGTGCTTGATAACATAGAAAAATTAACTAAAGCAAAGAGAACTGACCTTATGATCTGAAATGGTGGATTTTGGTACATTGTATGTCCTTGCGGCTGCCCGAATACTCATTTCACCCGCCCGCACTGCGTTCACTGCCTCTTGAAGTTGTTCACTGTTGTAATTGGCTCTTTCTCTTCCTCATGAGGCCTCGCCTTTCTCTTATACTTTTGGGGCATCTAAAATGATGATCAAAATATTCAAATATTTAAATCATGATTAATATTTTGAAAAAAATAGATTAAATTAATCTAGAGTAGATTTGAGGTTGATATTATCATTGCATGTTTGAATTAACAAAATTAACGGTTATGCAATAATTTGTCCCTTTGACGGACACTTTTTTCACAATCAATTTTCCATTTAAACATGACAGATGTGCATCAGCAGCCGTCCTAAAGTATCTATGTATACTTAGCTACAATCTAAACACTTTATATAGAAAGGAAACAATATTCAATACATATAAAAACGACAAATAAAAATAAATTTTTTTTTCTTGAATTTACCTTTCTTGAAATACCGGAAGTCTTGTTCGTATTCTCCCGGGATAAAATTGGCCTACTTCCTCAATTGTGATATGAAAATGTCAGAAAAATGGTCAACCTTAGTGATATATTTAACCTTTTTCTAAAGTGTCTGAGTATATGCACAACTTATTACGACTATAATTGAGCTGTCTGTCAATCGGCACTGTCCGAGTATTAGCCCAATGAGTCTAATATATGGAAAATATGTTCCTATTGTAGCAACCCTGGCCCAGTTTGGCACCTGGCCACCAAATAATTATACATTACAGAGATATAAAGTAATCTAAAGTGTCTTTATTAAAATATAAACTAAATTATAATCAACACAAAGGTCCCCAAAATAGGTGACCATATCTCATTGTTTAATTATAGTTTAATTACACGAAAAAGTAGACCATCCATCTGGTGTGGCACAGTAAGAGGCTCAAATAGAACCTTAAAACAAAAAGGACAAAAACATTAATAAAATGACCCCCAAAATAGAGGAAAAAGACCCAAAATGAGTGTTGTAATAACAATGTGAAACGTCACACCAAATGGTTGGCCCGTGTAAAGTATTATTAGGACCAAAGTGGTCTTAGGGTCCGCAAGGTGCGCCCATATTCAAAATGTACTAAATCTAAAATAATATAAGGACCAAAGTGGCCTTAGGGTCCACAAAGTGCGCCCATATTCACAATGTACTAAATCATAAGTATTATAAGGACCAAAGTGGCCGTAGGGTCCGCAAATCGCGCCCATATTCACAATGTACTAAATCTGAAGTAATAAAAGGACCAAAGTGGCCTTCAAATGAAACATAGTAACTATACCAAATAGCCTACACATCCACATGGCTTATACCGGTCCTACCTTACTACTGTGATCTTACCTAACCTAACAGACCTCCTGTCTGCAACTGGCAGGCAGGAGGGGAAGTGATTCAACAACGTAAGCATCAAAATCAAGACCAAAAGGTGTAAATTCAAACGTAATCTCAATCAACAAAAAGGGAAAACTTCTCCGAGATAAAGGGGACAATTTGAAGTAAGAATTTCTACATAAATAATAGCTTTCTCAGTGAATAAAGTGATTGAAAGTAAAGAAGAAAGGTAGTTTTAAAGCCTGTAATATAATTACCCAAGTTTCTGGTGGAATATCCATTATTCGTGAATAAATTGTAGCGAAAGATATTGAAAACTGTTAAGTTCACGTTGTCTACCACTTCAAATCTCTCTAACATCGGACCGAGCCGGAAGTCACTTTGCACGAGACTTCCGACGAGATTTCGAAAATGGCCAAAAATTTAAAAGTAAAAAATTAAAAATTCTACAAAAATACTGGTAAGTGACTATCTATCTTACTTAATAATAAACTACATACCTATGGATACATACAAGGGAAAAAAAGTGAATCAACCGGGTCCAGGCGCCAGAATGACGCATTATCATATCAAATGGACCCCCGGTCATCACACTACCCCCCAAAAAAGTAAGTCTGACCCAGACTTCACATATAAAAAGATACAATACAAAATACATATAAAAGATACAGTCAAAATTTCTCTACAAAAGTATGGCAATAACTAGAAAAATCATATATTTATGTACATTGATTGAGCATATTGGGTTATAAAAAAAATTGTCTCTAATTAATTATATAGTTAATTATTAATAAGTTTATTGGTCTCTTGAACATGTAATGTACATCGAGATAAGTCCAATAAAGCAAATAACAAATAAAACATTCATGTACATGCATGGCAAAACAATTCTAACAATCTAATTTTAACAATCACTAAGTACTTTACTAAACAGCATAAAATGATTTCACATCAGTTTTGTTTAACAACTCTTTGGTAATATTGTGAACTCTCGTAAAATAATCACCAATTATTTCATTAATTGCATCATCGTGCGCTAACAGGGAGTATAAAAATAAACTACTTGTATTAAAATGAGAAAAACCATTGTTTATACTTTTTATTTTACTGAGATATTGAGATCGAGCTAGTTTTAGTTCTGATTGAGAACAACAAAAAAGAACGTGTTCTTCATCACCTATTGTATTTATTGAATTACAAAAGAAACAAAATCGTTTCGATTTTTCTACTTTGAAGTATCGACCTCGTTCAATTGGGAAGTTTATTACTGTTCATTTGTGTGCACCACTTTATCTTCACTTAGCACATTTAGTTTATCAAAGTGTCCCAGTCTATGTCGTCATGAGGATTATCCACCAAAATTTCCAAAGAAGGGATCTTGTTTGAAGTCCTTGTGGGAGCCTCAAGAATTTGTGGGGGAGCCTGCTTTGTAGAAATGATGACAGTTCTGGTGTCAGGAGGGGGTGTCCAGCTACTACGTTTCTCCAGTGGCCAAGGGGCATCTTCACCTTTCCCTGCTGCATCCGCCTCTACTACGAGTTGGTGTACTTTCAAGGAAGCCTCTTTGGCTGCGGCCCTTCTTTTCCTTCTACATGCGTTCTTCGCCAGCCTCTTCTCTTCCTCAGATTTGTATTTCGACCTTCCTGAGGGCTGGTAGTCATCGGTCACAGCGACCACAACAGGAGATTGCTTGACCAAAGTTGGTGGGATGCTACTGCCAGCCTCTCCTACAGCCATTTTCACCAGACTCGGGCTGGCTGGTGACGTCGTCAACTGGGACATGGCTCCCTCCAATGTTTGTGGCAAATGTTCAAGGAGGTGTCCCCCCCCCATTTTAAATCCAGTGATTCCAGTTTTTCATGAAGCTTCAAGTGATTGATGAACATGTGTTTTTTCGAAGAAGTGCAGACCCATGTACACTTTGGG